TGAGCTGAGAGAGGGGGTGGGTGGTCACAATTACAGAATTGTGTGGTGGCTGCTCCAGATTCAGAAATTCCAATAGATAACCCATCTTTTTGACCGGAGAACCTGATAAAAGGTGTTTCCATGATCAAAGAGTGTGAGGGAATCCCTGGTTCCCCCCCTTCTCTTTTTTCTTCTAGTCCTGCCCCAAGGCAATTCTATAATTTATGTGGCAGCAGTATGAACGATAAGAATCTGGAGACGAATTCCAACTTCTGGACAAAGGAGTCTCACATTGAAGAGCAAGAGGAAGAAAATATTTGTGTAAAAACAAACATACTGGACTATATATTTATGATGTATTTTGAATGTTTGTTATACTTTAATAAAGCTGTTAAGTTAAGGAAGGGAAGAGATAGAAAGAAAATAACTCCAAACCAACATGTAGTTGCAATGCTAGATGCAAAGAAAAATGAAGACTCCAAAGAAAGGGTCAGTGACATACTGGGGAAAAAAAAAAAGTCATCTGTGTTTACAAGCAGCTTGTTTCTTGTTACTCACTTTAGACATACTAGAAGATTCTCTGTATGAACTTCTGACTTAACGGGACTCTGTCCTTGAAGAACTTTCATCACAGCCTCACCCTGGAAACCTTCCTCCTTTGGTCAGTGAAGACTCAGAGTTCTTTGATCCTTGACTGTGACTAGGCACAATGATTAATTTGCCCTTCCAGGTGCTATCTCTAAGACAATGAGTCCATGATCCTCTTGATTTCTAGTCCTTTCCAAGTAAGAGTCATCTTCAAGGACTAAAAATCTAGCAGCTCCCTACAATTGGAACTCAACACTTCAGTGGATAAGAATCAGACGGTGTCAGTGACAGGCGAGAAAAAAATCTGAACATTCATAGTGTTCACAGGGAACATGGTGGAATTTTCTGCAGTATGATAACAAGATAACCCAAGTCATGTTCTCGGGTTCCCAGAAGAACACAGCATATCACAGCCACAGGAGCTGAAATTACGTGTTTATAAAAGAAGGTGCCAAGAGTATATACCATCAAGACTTGAACACACTCATTCCCTCTGGATCTGACTTTCAGATCCCTTTGGGCATTTCTCATGATCCCATCAGTGGTAGCTCTGAGGGAGCAATTAGATTAAAGTTCAAAATAATAATAGATATGAAATGAAAAATATCTCCATCCCTTCTAAGTCTGCTGGCCTGGAAAATGGACTCCAGTACTGAATTCAAGGCTTCAGGCTAAGTACTTTTTTTTTTGCCTCCCATATTTGCCTATCTTTGCCTATGGTAATATGGCAACACCCTATTTCATAGTATGTAAACATTTCTAGGACTATGTAGATATCTAAAATAAGTATCACTGTTGCAGATAGGTTGTAATAAATAATAAGCAATTATTTAATTATTATCTTACATGTTTTTTCTAGAATTTCACCTAACAAAACAGCATTAATCAAATAAGTACATTTAAAGAAAGATTATAAATTGGTAGTGTGTTTAAACCATCCCAAATGAAAATGGTTTGTTTTGTTCTGTTTTTTGTTGTTGTTTTTTTTAATAACAGTAATATGGTTTGAGCATTTGCCAGGTACTATGCTAATTTGTTCTTATGTTCTTATATGTTTAAATTTAAGCTTCAAAACAACCTTATAAGTAGGAGAGGAATAAAAGCACCAAGAAATTTAGAACTTGATCACATAGCTAGAAAATGACTGTGCTGAGATTAAATCCCAGGTCTGATTCCAGGCCAAAGCCTTAAATTCTTCCATTGTGACACCTCCTGAGACATTTTCATTAGAAAAGAAGAAATGTGGCACTTGCTTTCAAATTCTTGAGGAGGTGCTATACTGAATTTTTATGTGCTTTTTCATGGTGAATAACCAGTAAAAAAGAGTGGAACTAAAAAAAAGTTAGGTTTCATTTCAGTATAGAAAAAAAATTAATGGGATAAGATGCCTTGTGAAGGATTGAGTTTTTAATCACTGTAAGAGTTTAAGTATGAGTAAGATGACATTCCTGCGGGGATGTAATGACCTTGTATCACTAATTTGAATGCAAGATTACCCTATGTACATCCTTAATGTCCTTTACAATTTTGAGATTCTTTGATTTTATTATATTGTTCATCTTTTCAATATATCTGAGAAGATACAATAAAGCTTAACAAATCGTTCTTCTATTGAAGAAGGATGAGACCCCTAAAGAAGGCCTCCAGGCATAATTGGTCTGGGCTCAAATGCAAAATTCAGTAGATATGAAGATAGCAGTGTTTATCTCATAACACTAAGTGTATCTGGCTTACCAAGCCATTAACTTGGTAATGGTAAGACTGGTATTCTCAATATTTTGGTGCCAAACATATGGAATAAATTCATACTTGTTTGCTTTTTTTTTAAGATTTTATTTATTTATTTGACACAGAGAGAGAGAGAGAGAGAGTACAAGCAAGGGGAGTGACAGGGAGAGGGAGAAGGAGGCTCCTGCTGAGCAGAGAACCCAAGAAAGGGCTCGATCCCAGAGTTCTGGGATCATGATTGAGCCAAAGGCAGACGCTTAACTGACTTAGCCACTCAGATGCCCCAATTCATACTTGTTTTCTAGAATATACTGTAGCTACACATCAAAAATAAAACAAACTCCAAGATAACCTAAGTATCACATATCCTTAACAAAAAAAGGAATATTAAATATGATCTAAAACTGAAGGGAATTCAGGATGTCACTAAATCTGGATAATGAATTATAGTAGGTCAAAAGATTTTTATTTGTTATAAATTCCATTTAGGAAACCCAAGTAAGGGAAATGAGCACAAATCATGGTTTATAATATTCTCTGACTACACTTTTACCCCATGAATTGACACTTAAGATACCTTATCCCAATTCACTTTTATGCCCCCTTTTTAAATAGTTCCCAAAAAATGATGTGGCTGACAGAATGATTAAGAATTCCATTGTGGGATGGTGTGGAGGAGGAGGAGATAGGCAAAAAGAAGGTTTGAGCAGAGAAGTAAAGGGCAACTTCCCCCAAGGTCATGTCTTGGAGTCTGAGCAGGAGAAGACCCTCTAAATGATCATTTATATTTGGTTATTTGGATGTCACTGGATAGATTTTACTAATATTGGGATGGAACACAAAAATAAGTGGCTGCATAGATAGCAAAGCACTAGGTGGAGAATGTTGGCGGTTGAAGGAAGCTCAGTGATAATGATCGCTTGAGTCTGTGAACAGATGACTTTGAGATTCTCAGTGTTTCAGGGATCATGAGCCCAGTGGTGTTGTGGTTTATGTGCAAGAGTGTCATTCACATCCAGCTAACCCTGAGATTATCCATCTCTGAATCTCTTTTTTCCAGGATTTTTCCAGATTCTTCCGGGGATTGTTGGAAGCCTATTGCTCACTCAAACTAGGATTCATAATCTAAAGGAGGTTCTCTGTTTCTCCTGAAACTTACCTCTTTACCTCTCTCACTTTCTAGCTTATATATAGACTAGCATGCACAAGGACTTATGCATTTAACCTTAGAAAATTAAAGAACTCTAGAGGTATAGCAGTTAGCATGGTAGTAAATAGCAAAAGAAAACATAATCCTGACTGAGCAAAAAAATAGTGATATAGCAGAAAGAATAAATGTAGAGAAACCAGAAATCTTGTGATTTTTCCCTAACTTCCCCACATGTTTGTTGTTTGAGCTTAGAAAATAAAAGAGAGGGGTGCCTGGGTAGCTCAGTTGTTTGGGCATCTGACCCTTGGTTTTGGATCATGAGGTCATGACCTTAGGGTCGTGAGGTCAAGTCCTGCATTGGGCAGCACACTCAGCAGGGAGTTGCTTCCCGATACTATTCTACCATGTGATTTGCCACATCAACCCATTAGATTTCAAATCTACTTAATTTTGTTTAGTCTCTAAAGCGTACATGAATTCAAGATACTTGAATATCTTGTTTCAGGTACTTCTTGACTATTAACAGGACTTAATGACTTAAAAAAATCAGATATTAACAAGTTACCATATCTGTGTTGTGATTTACAATAGAACAAACTCAGGACTAGTATTTCTTAATCCTTGTATAGGAACAACAAAGGATGCTACCAGTTATCTTAAAGATCCTCAAAGAATTCTCCAAAGTTACACTTAATTGAACTAAAACCAGAAAGCCATATGTATCACTTAAAGTTTAATGGGTGAAGACCACATTGGATAAGTGCTGGTTTTCATATAAATATTTTATAGAGGGAAAGCAATTACCAAGACAATTATCAAGGACCTATGAGGTGGCAAGCATTCTGCTATTTGGAGATATGGCTGTGAACCATATGTGCAGGGGTATCCCTTAATGGAGCTTACAGTCTAGTGTGAATTTGCACAATAAACAGACCATTACGAGCTGGAATAATAGATATCAGAGCAGGAGGATATTGGATCGGGCACAATAACAACAAATTCATGGGTCTGTAACTCAGATTTTCGAGTTCTGATTAAGTTTCTTAGGTTTGAAATAGAGGAAATAGTTCAGAAAAAGAAAGTATGGGTAGGATATGGTGGTAAAGAGGCTTTCCCAGACTAGAGATGCAAAAGCTAAAAATATAGGTCCAAAAGCTGAAGATTACATCATCATATTGCTACAATTTTCATTGTCTTTACACAGGAAAAAGGAGATTTCGAACCACTGCTAGAAGATACTTTCATTATGGCTGAGAACTGAGTTTTTATCAGTTGTACAAAGGAAAAGGGGAGGGGGTGATGGTAACAGCATTAGTGAGTGGGTCCCTATATCCAGATCATTCTTAGTACTTCCAGTCTGTGTCTCAGAGATACTCAGAAGAGAAAAATCCAGAGAGCAGTGACATCAAAAGCCCATAGGATAAAGAAATAATGTCAATAGAATCCCACTAAATGAGGCTGTATATTGGCAAATGGGCTAAAGTTAAACATATCAATTCATACAACATAAGAGACAATGGCTTAGGCTAATAAAAGATCTTCATGTTATTTCTGATCACAAGAATATTCTTTTCTCTAACACTTTCTTCAGGGCAACATTGACATCCTTATTCCGCAAGCTATAGATCAGGGGGTTCAGCATGGGCACAATGATGGTATAAAACACAGAGGACACTTTCCCTTGGTCCATGGAGCTCACAGATGATGGCTGCAGGTACGTGAAGGCAGCAGATCCATAGAAGACAGCCACAGCTGTGATGTGAGAGCTGCAGGTGCTGAAGGCTTTGGACCTGCCTTCAGTGGAGCGGATGCGGAGGATGCTGGACAGGATGAAGGCGTAGGAGCCAAGGATCGTCAGGCTGCGGGCAAGGATATTAATTGCACTGAAGACTAGAATCAGTAATTCATTGACATGGGTATTAGAACAGGAGAGTTTTAAAAGGGAAAGAAGATCATGGAAATAATGGTTGATCACATCAAATTTGCAGAAATGAACCCTAAACATGCAGCCTGTATGAACAGATGCACAAACCAGGGCTATAACATATACTCCCCAAATCAGGGAGAAACAAGCCTGATGGGACATGATGATATTATAAAACAAGGGGCTACAGATGGCAACATAGCGGTCATATGCCATTGCTGCTAACATGTAACACTCTGCAATAGCAAAAACAAGGAAGAAATAGAGCTGAGTCATGCATTCAGGGTAGGAGATGACATTCATCTCTATCACAAAGTTCACCAACATTTTGGGGGTAATGACAGTGGAATGGCAGAGATCAATGAAGGACAAGCTACTGAGGAGGTAGTACAGGGGGTGTGCAAGTGAGCGCTGAGCCCTATCAGCGTGATCATGCCCAGGTTCCCCACCACAGTGACCACATAGGTTCCTAGGAAGAGGAAGAAAAGGGGCAGCTGGAGTTCTGGTTTCTCTGTTAGCCCAGCGAGAATGAACTTGGTCACTGTGGAATGATTTCCTGTTGCCATTTTCCTCTGAGTAGTTTCTGAAGGGGAGAGAAAAAACCATAGTTGTTGCAAAAAACTTCATTATCTTTCTCTATTTAGAGTAGGGTGCCCCATGTAGATGAGTCATGGTTTAGATATCCTCTTGGTCTGTAAGATCATTTAACTCTGAGTCAATTTATATAAGTAGAATTCATTGTGGTTTAATGTTTATTAAGCCTCATTTCCAAAAAATAATACATATATTTCATATAAAAATAATTATGTTTTCGGGCACATGGGGGTTCAGTCAGTTAAGCATCTGCTTTCAGCTCAGGTCAAGATCCTGAGGTTCTGGGATCGAGCCCCAAGTCGCACTCCCTACTTTGCGGGGAGCCTGCTTCTCCTTCTCCCTCTGCTGCTCCCCCTGCTTGTGCTCTCTCTCTCTCTCTCTCTATCAAATAAATAAATGAAATCTTTTTTTAAAAAATAGCTATATTTCTAATTACTGAAAACTCGGTAAGTGTTTTCCTATGTTGAACATTTCAGTGATCATCAAGCCAATATTTCTAAGTGGAGACTTAGAAACTTAAATATTTAGAGAAGCCAATGTAAATGAGTCACACTGACTTCATGACAACTTGGGAGCACACAATACCAAGGGGAATAGCCTGCAATTAAATTCTGGTAGGAGTGGACAGAGGCCTTATTATTTTCAGACCTTTCAGTTTTAAAAATAATTATCAGGAAATCTGAATATCTACATAAAATCTTCGGATGTTTCAATATTATTAGGAAGATGAAACAATACCTACAACCATTGTTGTGCGCAGTTTGGGCCACCGGACTGGCCCACCGTTAGTGGGTTCATGGTCCTGGAGCAGGTACTTCTGCCTTTGCTTGAAAAAGCAGTATGAATAGTGGTTAAATGGTGGCCCTTAAATTCAGATTTAGAGACTATCATGCAGTTCCTAGCTTATACAGTTTTGACTTTGACAAGTCGAACGATCTCTTTGAGTCTCGGCTTCTAAATCTGTATAAGAGAAATAACAGTATTACAGACCTTGTAATAAGCTGGGAGAGACTTACCAATCAGAGAGTGAATATCCTCAGTTATTGTGCTTACCTATTAACAGTTCATCAGTTGCAAAATAAGTTATCAACTACTCACTTCAAGTTACAGAAAGAGAAATTTTCTTTTGAAGCAGAAATGTTAATATCTCAATCCTTCTTTCTCTGCCCTTCATCTTTTCTACAAAGCAGAGGCATAAAATTAGAAAAGACAGAATTGCAAATGTCCTCCCCTATTCAGTTACATGACAAACAGGTGGTTTTACCATTATATGTGCCCAAGAGAGCTCATGCTCTCTCTTGCTCGCCCTGAAATAAATAAATAATAAAATTTTTTTTGAAAAAAGGAATAAATCACAAATGCCTGCAAGAAGACACATCTCAAAAACATTGTGTTTTTTGAAATAAATTGCACAAAATTTACCTTTAAAATTTGGAGGTATTCATCAGGATAATTAACTAGAACAGTGGTTTTCTTTGTGTGAGAATTTTTAGCAAGGGACTGGATTTATTTAATAGATATCACTGATTTTATCTTTCTTCTTAGTTTTCCTAAATGGAAATTTCGTTGTGTTCATCCACTTTGAAAATGATCCAGTGTGTTATGTTAGGTGTTTCATGATGATTTCTTTAATACTAAAAAGTATTTTTGGGGGTGCCTGGCTGGCTCAGTCGGTTAAGGGTTCTACTTTTGATTTTGGCACAAGTCATAATCTCAAGGTCCATGTGGGGCTCCATGGAGAGGTTCTCTCTCTACCCCCTCCCTCTGCTCCTCCCGCTGCTCTCTTGCTCTCTTTTTTTCTCTCTCTCAAACAAACAAATAAAACCTTTAAAAAATGTTTTTGATTAGCAGAGATTGCTGCTTGTTTACTCCTAAAACTGGCAAATTATGGTACTTTTCTTCTTCCTTAATTTCTCATTCTAGAAGATTTTCAATTTCATTAATTTATTTAAGTAAACCAACTTTTAGCTATGTTAGTTTTATGAAATATACATTTATTTTCTACTTAGATTATTTCTAATAACTTTTATTCTTTATTAATGTCTTTTTTTGAAATAATTATTTTTCTTAATTCTTATTTTATTTTTTTCAGTGTTCTAAGATTCATTGTTTATGCACCACACCCAGTGCTCCATGCAATACGTGCCCTCCTTAATGCCCACCACCAGGCTCACCCATCCCTCCACCCCCTTCCCTTCCAAAACCCTCAGTTTGTTTCTCACAGTCCATAGTGTCTTCATTATGATTTCCTGTTCTTATCCTAACTTCTTGCAATGGACAGTATCTTCAGCTTTTTTTTTTTTCTGGTATGTACATATAAATTATACATTTCTCTTGAAGCCCCATTTTAGCTGCATCTCACAAGCTTTGATATAACAAATTTAAAGTATCATTTCTGTTTCATTTTTTCATTGTCCCATGGATTATGTGGAAGTGAATTCTTAACTTTCCAAAAGTTAGGTTTTTGGGTTTTTTTATTTGTTGGTTTGTTTTTAACTAGTCCTATTTTTAAATGTTTGTCTTAATTTCATTCTGGTCAATGAACATACTGTGAATTATCTAAATCATTGCAAATCGCTTAGAATTCTTTATATTGAAGCATAAGATCAGGGATTTTTTTAAAGATTTGTTTATTTTAGAGAGAGAGAGCAGGTGAACAGGGAGAGGGGGAGAGGGAGAGGGAGAGACTCTCAAGCAGATTCAGTGCTGCACATGAAGCCCAACACAGGGCTTGATCTCGTGACCCTGAGATCATGACCTGAACCAAAATCAGGAATTAGATGCTTAACTGACTGAGCTACCCAGGTGCCCCATAAAATCAGTTTTTATAAGTATTCCCAACGGATCTTAAAATATGTTGTTTGTTTTTGAGAGGCCTGTGATGCATATCATTTCAATTATGTCCACTTTACTAACAATGTTGTTTAGACTTTGCATATGCATAGTGATTTTTTTGTCTGTTATTCTAATAGTTATTCAGATAAGTGTGTCAGTGTCTCCCACCAAAGTTTCTGATTTGTCTATTTATTACCTCAAGCCTTAAATTAAAACCTGTATTGTTATGGAATGGCCCCCTTTATATTTAGTAATGTGTCCTGGTTACAGTCGCCATTGTCTGATATTAATACATTATCATGAGATTTATTTTTGGCTAGTGTTTGCAGAGCATATAATTTTCCACCTATTTATTATTTCTGTGTATTTTTTTGAAAGAGGCAACAAATCAAACAATTATTTTAAAATAGCATCACATAAAATAGCAACAGGTAACTATCAAATACTTAACATCAAATCTAACAAAATGTGTGCAGTGTTTATACACTTAATCTTTTCAATTATTTTGAAAGAAATGACAGAAAGCCTTAATAAGGAGAGAAATTTACCATATGCATGGATTAGAAGACTAAATTGTATAAAGATATCCCTCCCAAATATAGGGATAGATCAACATATTTTATTTCCCAGATAATTACTTCTAAACAGATAATCAATATGTTAAGACACCAATAGGCTCCTAATGGGATCATTTAGCTACTTCCGGTCATCTTACAGATTTATAGAAAATATCAGCTTAGTCTGATATTGAAAGAGAATTAAGATATTGATTCTCAATAGGTTACAAGATTGCACTCTAGAAACTCAAGCACATTTTAATGTTCTAGCTTTCATCCTCTGTACTCCTTTCTCCTGTTTCAGAGGAATTCTGTGTCAAGGTCCATACTTCAGTTGTTCAGTGTGAACATGACACAGACACAAGCATACCTTGTTACTTCATATAGGCAAGTGGCACAGGTGAAAATAGTAACGAGATGTGGGTAACACAAAGTACAGTGGGCTGGTTTCTCTACAGCCAGATGTAGAACATATTTGAACCCAGAGTGTTGAGATTTCTCAATATGGTTGATCAGAGCTATCTAGGGAGATTACAGTACTTACAAAAAATGTTGAATGTAAACATGATTATGATGAAAAACAAAAGTTCGTGAATCACCATCCTGTGCTCTTAGTCCTGTTTCTGAGAGATGACCTAATTTCTGCAGGATAGCTCTGATAAAGTTTTTTCTTTCTTTCTTTTCTTGTTTTAAAAAGATTTTATTCATTTATTTGAGAGAGAGAGAGAGGTAGTTCGAGAGAAAGGGAGAAAGAGAGAACTAATGGGGGGAGGGACAGAGGAAGAGGGAGATGCAGACTCCCCACTGAGGAGGGAGCAAGAGAGACTCCATCCCAGGACCCTGGGATCATGACCTAAGCTGAAAACAGATCTTAACAGACTGAGCCACCCAGGTACCCTGATAAGATTTTTTCTAACGGTTACATCCACAGCTCTAAATAATTTGTTCATGTTGCTATTTCTAGAATTATCAATTTTGAACATTAAACAAACTTCCCATATTACAGGTGGAATTCCTTTTTATTAAAAAGGTAAAGTGGTGACTACCACCTTCTACCTCATTCCTATATCTGGTATTCTATTTTTGATGTTTTCTTAATCACTTTTGGATCTTTAAAAATATTCTCAAAATTCTTTATTCATAACTTCCAAAATTCTCTCACTTCATCTGAAGAGATTTTGTTTGTTTGTTTAATACAGAATTTCTACTCCTATTCTAGACATTGTGAATTGGAATTTCTGAGGGTAAGAAAATTTACAGAACTGAACTTTCTAAAAATAAAGCTAGAAGAAAACAAACAAAACTATCAGAGTAATTCTGGTGATTGTTCGGAAATCATTGGGTTAAGAAATTAAAGTCACCTTAGTGGTTTAAATGGAGAGCTTCAGGACTCTTTTTTTATTTAATTAAGCAATCATTACTGAAAGACAGCAAAATGCCAGGCACTGAGCTAAAGGATCACCAGGACAATGAATCCAGACACTGAAAATAGTCCAAACAAACAAGTTAAAATATGGTGGAGAAAATAATTGTTAACTTCTAATGTCAGTTTAAAAAAAAATTCCTCAGATACAAGATATGGGGTATGAAGGTGACTCCTATGAAAACAT